CCCCCCCCCCGCCAGGTTCAGTGTGAAACCCTGGTTTCGGCTCCCCCCACCCCGATGGTTGGCTTTAGCACACAGGCTCTAAGCCCGATGCACACTGCCCAGCAGCTTGGGGCTGTGCGACTAAGTTCACCCCATGCACCTAACCCGGACTGGTTTAACCAGCATTTGAGAACAAACCTCAGTTGGTCGGGTTCACAAGTTAAACCAGGGATGCGTGGCTATTGGTTTGAAGGACGGCCTGACTTTGCACGGTGTCTCAAGAGCTGCGCTCCTGGGCTCTTTGAAAGGAGACTCGGGAGTATTAAAGGCCAGAAAAGGTAACCGGAAAGGTCTACCAGCTTCAAGACCTCCTTTTTGCCTTCTTGCCCCCTCCCCACCCCCTGAGGTCCTGCAAAAAGCCCAATTTTGGGTCCCAGGCGCTGCACGCCTTTGCACCTGTGGGCCAAGCCACATTTCAGCTTCCAGTTCACAAGGAACAGATTCAGCGCAGACCAAGCCAAACCCTTAATACTGCACGGTGGATCCAGTCTGTGTTACGTAAACATTAAAATATATTTAAATCTGGGAAGCCGTTCGCTCCAACTAGGACCGAGTTCAGCAGCTTTCAAGCCAGCCCCACAAGCAATCCAAAGCATATTTAAGATTTTTGTCTCCTAAACATGTGCAGAGTGCACTTCTCTCAAGAAAAACTAGATTTCTTCCCCATGCGAGCAAAGTTGTCACCCAGGAATTCTGTTTTTTAGGGATTTCAGCGGGCGACAATGGATTTTTGGTTGCATTTGCGCCTTCGGGGTGAAAACAACCATTCCCAATTGTTGGTTACACCATAAATACGTTCTACGTAAATGTGAACTCATGAGCAAACATTGCATGTTGTATAAATATGGCTATTGGGGTTTATAAACCATGGTTTAAGGCTCAGTGTGTCAGGTGAATTCACACGAGGGGGCTTATTAGATAAATCATAGCACAGCGTGTCAACACAATCATGGAGAATCAGGGTTCATGGCTGGCTCACTGAGTTTAGTACGTTTTGGTTTTAGTATTTGTTTTCATCTGGCCTGGTGATTTTTTTCTGTTCTTCCGAGATTTTTAAATTTCGTCTGCCGCATTGCGAGCTCACTGGAGCAAAAGGTGTAAATCCACCAACGAAGTGGCAGGGAAGACTTTGATTTTTCCAACAAGCACTATTCTGGTTCTCTAAAATGAATTAGACCAGGATTCTTCAACCTCAGCAACGTTAAGATGGGTGGACTTCAATTCCCAGAATTCCCCAGGCGGCTGGGGAATTCTGGGAGTTGAAGCCCACACGTCTTACAGCCGCCAAGGTTGAGAAACACTGAATTAGACAAACATTTGGCACAGTTACTCATAGTTCTTATTTTGGTTTCCTAAATGGGGAACTGAGAATATAACCGAATGACTTTCTTAAGCCTTGCAACGAGTCGCTTCTTGCTCTCTTCTCATGTTTTTTCCCAGCTTACCCACATTTATTTTCCCAGCTGCATTCAACAGAGCTCCTCCGACTAACATCTGGTTCGTGATGCCACCGTGCGTTTCTCCTGCAGGGCACACACCTTCTCAGACCAAACTCAGCTTGGCTTCCTGCAAATTCAGCCATGCTACAGGTGAAACATTCCAGGTTCTGTCCCTCTAAAATAGCCTAATTTTTATATTTTATGGTTTGTCTTTTCTCTGAGAGTTCAAGGTGGCTTCCATGCACCATTTTATTCCACAATGACAACCCAGTGAGGTAGGTTGGGTTTCTCTAAAGATCTCTGGAGTCCTTGGTGCTCTCTGAGCTTGGTTGTTTATTTGCAGACGTTTCATGACCCAACTAGGTAACCTCATCAGTGCTAGTGAGGGTGGGGTTTGCTCCCTGTTTCTATACAGTAGTTTGCCCTGGCAGTGTTGGTGAGGATCTGGTTTTCTCCTTGGTAGTTCCTTGAAGATCTCTAATGAGCTTCAGGGGTGGAGGAAGATTTGAATGTTGATCTTCTACTCCAAGACCAGCACCTTCACCAATACATCACCTCTGCTTTCATCAGCACATTAACCACATTTCATGCCGGCCCAGCCAATCCGTCTTAAATATTTATTCGGTATCTTTTTTTTATTGCATTCGGTATTGTTTTGCAAACTTGTAAACGTGAGACTTCACTTGGAGATACAGGGCAAGACATGAGAAGTGCTATAAATATTTGGAGTACAGTAAATAAACACACTTCTTTCCGTTGTTGAGACACTGGTGGGTTGCCCGGCGTGAACTCCACCGAAGTCTAATTCCTTTGAAGGAGTCTATCTCAGATTTCTTTGCCGAGGAATTTGGCTAGTCTACATCCAATTCACTGGGAACCCCAATTGTTCACACAGCATACTAAGCCATGGTCTGTGGCTTAGCCAAGGGAGCCGCAATGGACAAGACTGGCACGTTATTCGAGGCCATACATTGTGGTTGATGAAGCAAGAAGGGTGGTTTGCCAGAGATCCAGAACCAAGACAAGGGTGGGTGGGGTTCACACACTGTATTAAGTTGTCTTAATACACTGAACCACAGTTAGCAGACCGTGATTTTGCTGAATTATTATTATTAACCCAAGCGCCTGGATTCATATAAGACGTTGAGTAATGAATCACATCATACAACACCATTGTTGATTTCACCCTGGCTTACGAAATAAGTACAGATGGCTGGAGCTGACACAACACTTGGATCCAAAGTTAACCTGCATTATGGCTGTGAAGGTATTGAACCTGAGTGTCTGCAGGGTGTGGTCAAAAAAGTCAAGATGACACCCCCATCTGTTATTTATGTGCAATCCTGGTAGCAAGTCACCTTTTCAGCTAGTGTGATCTATGGGAGTGAAGCCCTTCCCGCGTTCCACCATGGTTAGTTGAAGAAGGCACAACGGCTAAGCCGTGGAATACCACTTGGATACCTTAGCGTGTTTGCTGGTTCACACGGCACGGTAAACCAAAGCCACGTATGTTTTGGCTCCATACATGAACGGTGCCTTTGCTGATCTCAACACGCCACGGCCCGGAATTCTGCACCCTCGGCCTTAATTGCTTAGCTTCATTAAATCAGTATTAATTTATCGTCTTTAACGCACAAGTGCAGTTCTCTCACACACAAAACCAACCTCTCTTCAGAACCTCCCATCTGCCAGATATATAATTAGTGTATTACTGTCCATATATCTGCTAATAACTTTTGCCTGAACCCCAGTGAGGTGAATTAAAGAGAGCTAATAAGGCATGTCTGGTAATCCACTTACGAGCCTGCCTTATATTTTTGTTCAAACTTCAAATTAAAAGACATGCAAGGGGAGGGGGAGGGAGACCTAGGATCTTTCCTTCACATACCTCAAATGTGTGTTCATCCTCTCCGGAAAACCCTTAAATGCCAGAATTAAGAATCAGCTCTAGGCACTTGGACATGGATGCTTCCAAAACGTTGGCACCTCCTTCTCCCCCTTCCCATTTTAAGTACAAATGAGTAACAGAAGAGACCTGTAGGCGGACAGGTTGGTTTGGAGAATTACTCATTTTTTAGATGCGTTTGCCAGCCTGCCAGTACTTCACACACACCCCACAAGGCATGTTAATTTCCTAATATCCACAAACAAGAATTCCTGGTTGCCATTCAGCCGTGCAACCACTTATAACTTACAGGAGAGAAAGTGCCCAATCTTAAAACAGCCCATCCTTGCTTGGCGGGATTTAGGAACTGGATTATGCTTTAGAAGAACCAAGTTTGATCTGTCCATCACATTAAGCCACGTTTTCCTTCCCCATGGTTGGAGGAAACCACAGTGCCTTCAGTCCTCCACTATGTTTTCTAAACCGTGAGGAACAGGCTCACCCAACCAAACCGAACTGCACACTTAAAAGGACACTGTTGGATCGATCATCTTCAAGCTGTTGAGATTTCAAGTCCAAGAAGCGCAAGAGGTCAAGGACAATGGTCCTACGTATGAACCAGCCCCACTGGCCACTGTTCCTTTTGCCATTCGGACAGGCTGAGAATATTCTGCTGGGTTCCCAGGCTTAA